AGGATGACAATTAAAATGATTTTTAAACATCATTCATATAGAGGTGTGAAAAAAGTGTCCCAGAACTCCCATTTTTGCCCTACTATATTATGATTATAGATATAAATATCAAGAGTACAAGTTATGAGTATGTAGATCATATATAAATTTTGTAATTCCAACATACAAAAGATATTTAAAGTCTTTTTAAATCTTTAATATATGTAAAAAATCCATTTATTGTTCTCAAATAAAGAATTTAAATTTTGAGCCAAAGTAAATATTCAACAAAAGCAATATTTTTTTTTTGCTTAAAAAACTGCTATGTACATACGTATGTACTTATATGATATGTTAAATTGGGATGATTTTTTTTTTTAACCATTAACGTTAATGATAACGATAATTGAATCGCACAAGGTTAATCGCACAAGAAATGTATAACAAATATAAACAATTTTTTTTTTAATTCATATATATCGATTATATCAAGCATAAACAAGTTTTTAATTTAAAAGATGTCAGAAAGCATCACAAGAAAAAAATCTGAAGGAATGATAAATCATAATTATCTACATGATAATTTGGTTTTTTGGAAAAGCAAAAATGGCAATTACAACTATACAATCATAAATTTAGGTACACTTCCCTTAAAACCAAATCTTAAATATACACAACTTCCAGGAGTATATCCTATTCCTAATAACTATAAAATAGAAGTTTTTTGGGGACATATAGAAAAAAATCATATTCAAGCTTCTATTGATTATATTGAAGGAATTCCAAATTATACAATTGAATGGACAAACAATGAACAAAAATATATAATAATTTTACAAATTTTGCCTTCAGATGCAGCTAGCAAATATTGTAATGTAAGGTTATAGCCGCTTTATAATTCATTAACTTAATAAATTAGTAATAAATAATTTTTTGAAGATACAATACCCAAGAATAAAAACAGCATTTTCTGGAATTATCATTTTTGGATTACACCTATACAAAGAGCTAACTAAAGTTATACCAAAAAAGAATCATCCATGGTGTGCTAAACCTCTTAGTGATCTTGGCAATGATTCATATAGAGATAAAACTAAAAGGGCAGCTAAAAGTTTGTTTAATGATTTTGAAATAAAAAAAAAAAAAATTTGGCATCTGACAGATAACTCTAAACTTAAAGAAATAGTAATGGAGGTGGGTGAACAACCATGGTTAGTAAAGTTTGATGAAAATCAACAATTAGAAAAAAAAAAAGGCGCAAAAAATAGTTCAAGCAATGGACCAATCGAATATTTCGCGAAGAGAATATCGAGCTCTTACAACTGCTTCACAAGATTTACCAAAAGAATAGCTAATTAGTAGTAAAAGACATAAGATTGATGAAATAATGCAAAAACATATTCCATTGTTAGAATTTGACATGAAAACACAAATGCAAAGTGCTAATTCAAGTGATTCAGATTGTGAAGAAACTAAAGATACATTAGAAAAGGGCGGTTACCATAATATATCTACAGTTCTCTGATTTCTTATACCCAAACTTGTCGCGAACAAAGTTCTCAGTTATGAAACCCCTACAATATACTTGCGGGTCTCGGGTAACGGAAGAAATGTCGGGAGAAAAATAAAGCATGTGATGGTGACATTAGCAGTTCTAAATGATCAAAAAAATATTTTGAAACCTGAAAGCCATTACACAATTTCTCTGTTCTCCGGGACAGAAAATTATGCTTCTTTTAAGATTGCATTAGAACTAATTTATTGCGAATTGCATGAACTGTATGAACATGGTCTTACTGATAATCATCATCGATAGGATATCAAAATTTTTTTTTCATCGGATTGGAAGTTTTTAGCATTAATGTTAGGATTTAATGCGGCGAATGCATTTAACTTCTGTCCATAGTGTCTCTGTACGAAGGATTTAATAGGCGATTTAAGTCAAACTTGGACGATATCAAAAAAAATAGATAAAATTAAAGAAAATTACCAATGTTACCCAGGTTATATTCATTCATCTATATTAGACATGATTCCCATGACTAATTATGTAGTAGATTAACTTCATTTAATGTTACGAATAACTGATCGTTTGTGAGAATTGGCTTTAAATGAATGTAAAAATAATGGACACTTTGTAGACGAGATGAGAGAATTGATATGTGAAAAGATGAGTGTTATTGGGGTAAAGTTCGATTTCTGGTTAGATAAAGATACAAGACTATGCAAATTTACTTCCTTAATGGGCCTGGACAAATTGAAAGTCATAGAAAAATTTAATCTTAATGTAATGTTACCAACAACTTGTGCCATGAAGGTTTAAAAACTCTGGTTAGGATTTTACGAACTTTATAAAATGCTAAGTCAAGATGGATTAATGGGAAATCAATTTCGCAACAAAGCCCATGAATGGTTAAAGATGTTTTTAGTGCCTTCACGAATTATTCCTGGCACTAGTATCATGGATAAAGGACTATATACCCCAAGTGATATAATACCCTATATGCATGTTCTGGTATACCATGTTTCTAAATTTCTTGAAATTCATTTACGATGGGGGCTTGGTGCGTTTTTTTGTCAACCTATTGAAAAAAAAATCACCAGCACGTATCAACCTTTTTCACAAAGATGCTAAGAGATGGTGGTAATAAGCATTTGCAAAAATCAGCTATACTAGAAATATTAGAAGTAGAAAATAGAGCACTATATTTTTGGAGATTTGATAATGCATTAGAATTGCCTAAATATAAAAAACTCCATATTACTAGTTCTAACAGAAATGATAAAAATCGAAGAATTGAAAAATCTTTTTAAAATTAGATGTTATCACAATAAAAATACACAATCGCAACTAGTTAAATAAGCTATTTAGATAAATATAATAGATAGCATTTTAGAAACTTGCTATATTTTATATTACAAAACAAGTATAGTTTCTAATTTAATATTAGGTTCCAGCATTTAGTTTTTTGTAGAGTCACAAACTCTAAAATCTAGAGTAGAATGGGAACTTAAGCTAGCAATATTATATGATATAATTTCTGATCTTGGACGTATTCATTCTAAAGGATTTGTACATAGAGATTTGCATCCAGGAAATATTTTAATAAATGATAATTCTAAAGCCTATGTTACAGACTTAGGTTTAACAATATCATTTGATAAAAAACAAAAGAGTAAAATATACGGAGTTATACCTTATATTGTGCTAGAAGTTTTACAAAAAGCCAATTATACAAGCTTTTAATATTTATAGTTTTGGAGTTATAATGGCAGAGTTAATAACTGGACCAACCTTTTGATGATAAATCATTTAATGATAAACTTGCACTAAGAATTTGGTTTGAATTGCGGCCCAAATTTGCACCTGAGACTTTGGATTGCTATGGATTCTGATCCAAAAAACGTCTCATTATTAATAATAAACTTGCACTAAGAATTTGGTTTGAATTGCGGCCCAAATTTGCACCTGAGACTCTGAATTTCTATGGATTCTGATCTAAAAAAGTCTTACTATTAATGAAATTCAGAATAAGCTTAGAGAATAGGTTTATATTATTAATGAATTTGACATATTTGACATTAAGAATGTTAAAAAGCAATCCTTGAAGGCTGATGAATTAAAGAATTGCTAACTGTTACGCAAAAACTAATAATATATACACCTCAAAATATATTAATACGTATAGAATTTCTAAGATAGTTGGGTTAATAATGGTTAGTAACTAGTAAAGTCTATAGAGATTTCATTTTAATAATTTTTAAAGACAAATATAATTGGTATTATGAATAATGTATCACTTGTTTATTAATATATCACTATCTTATCAAGTTTACAGATCATGGTAATTGAAATTTAAACAGGTTTTTGTTTGTTATATGTAAAGGTATTTGGATGTTTGAACACATACATAGGAGGCACAATGCATTGTTAAATCTATTGATTTTTGAACTGATATCTTTTATTAGATTAGGATTATTCAGATGAAACAAATTTAAAATAATATGATCTAACTTACAAAGATATCTAGTAGTATATTATATCTTAGCATTTATCTTCCAAAAATAATTAATTGCAAATTAATAAAATAATGTAAACCTGTATTATATATTATTCTAAACATATAAAGCTTTAATCCTACTTTAATATTTTCAAAAAAAATTAAATATGAGTATACGTACAATTTTTGAATATAGTTTTTAAAGATAAAAATTTGCATTCGACTATTGTATAGGATTAGAATTAATGTCAGAATTTTGAGCAATTCCTCATCAAATAATCTGATCCCAAATTTTTCTTCGCCAATATTTAAACTATCAAGTTTTGAAAGAGAAACAAGGGTACTTTCCAAGAGATTCTTATTTTCATAATCAAAATAATAATTAGATGCTACAGTAATAAGACTACGCCAATCTATATAAAATAAATTGAGCTAAAAAAGAATAAACTAATATTATCTAGGCTTACCTTCCTTAGAAAATTATCTTTTTTGAAAATCGTCTGTTTTTTTTTTTTTTTTTATAATAGCTTTTTTATCATGTCATATACAGTATGAATTCGACCTGTAATAAAAATTTAGGAATTAATAAAGGATAAGATATAAAAAAAATTGATCTTGCAAATGCGTATTTTTATAAATAAAATCAAATCTCAATAGCATCTCAAAATATGCTATTTTGATATCAAATTTTTTAGATTTCCATAATGATTAAGAACAATTAAGCTTACATAAATACCATTTTATGAGGCTTTTTGGTTTGACGAAGAATACTATAAATAAAGAAATAGAGATAGAATATTAGTTTAAAATTATAGCAATAGCTTGAATCCATTTGTAAAATAAATTAAATTTTTGCTTGACAAAAATAATTTATATGTTTCTTACTTTGCTCTATAATAAAGGTTTAAAAATTCAAAATTAGCATCGCCAATCTAAGATTTATAACCAAATCAATAAAATTTATTGATTTAGTTAGTTTGACTAAAAGAACCTCAAATAAAATTTAAACTTACAAAATTGACCAAGCCAAAAAAAAGCCGATCTAGATTTCTTATTATCTAGTAGATCATTTGATTGCTGTAACTCCAAGTCGCATTTTTAAAAGATTATAATATTTTATATCAATTAAAATTATTTATCTACGAAAGATAATATCAAAAAAATGATATTAATATTAAACTTCAATTCATGAATTCAAAATTAACCCATTGATAATATTAATTCTATTCTAATATATTTATTTTTTTATTGATTATACAGATTTGTATTGGGTTCAGTAAAGTAGCTTTTTTCTACATTAAATTGTATTTTAATATACCCAGAGGTAGCCTGATGCCCACTAAAATCTTTAATTATTTCTTGAACCCAGTCTACTATAAATTCTGGCTGTATTACTTTATCTTTTTCCAAGGTTATAGTGGAAGAAGACTCACTTTTATCAATATTACCTTGTTTTTCTTTTTTTTTTAACTGCTTTTTTTGCAATTATAGCATTCAAAGCTGGAACTGAACTCTCAATAGTTGTTTGAATAAACAATACAACATAAGAAACCTGTTATATTTATAGTGCCATACATCCCAATATTAATCATCTAATATTGAACTAACAGTTTGATATGCGTTAGGTTCTGAAAAAACACACCTGTACACTTTTCTGTTAACAAACACCCGAGTTAAATGCTGCTTAAAAAGTCCTAAATATTGACCTTCCATACATGGAAATTTGATTACTTGCTTTTCAGTTTTTCGAAAAGCAAGTGGAAGTCGTTTATGAATGGCATATACTAACATTTTCTTCCATTCGTTAATAGCATTTTCTGGCAAAACATAGTGTTGAATAGAAGGTGTGTTATAATCATTATGCTTAGAATTTTCATATCTTGAGAGTCCTGCTGAGGATTTGTAGCATTTTTTTTTACAAATAGTACACTCAAATGGTTTGTTAGATGCTGATTGAGGCATTGAGTAAAACTTATTATTTATAAAAAAATACTGTTAGTATTATATATATGTAATAAATATTAAAACTCTTGTTATAATCTTTATTGTTCTTACTTACTTGTTCGCAATTCAGTTCATTGGTTACCTGGGTGGGTTTATTGGTTTGACGTTAGAATTTAATATGAAATTTTAATTTTGAATATTAAAAATGGAATACTAATATGCAATATCGATCAGTATCAATTATAATTTGGGGTGCAGATTTTAGGCCCTAAATCCATATTTTGACCCATATGATATGTTGGCCAACTCGGTTTGATTGATACCATATTTCTCCTCCAAAAGCTCAACTAGTGTAGAAATCATATTTTGGCTTAATCGATCTTTTTGTTCATTCCACTTTAACTCATAGTTAAGCCTAAAATCCCCACCTTTTTCATTGAGAATAAGAAAAAGTTCACTCTATTAATAATAAATTAATTTTGATTTAAAAAAAATAAATATAAATATATGTCGAATATAATTAGTATATGTCAAATATAATTAATTACAGCATTAATATTATTAGTTTTAAATTTAAAAAAAAAATATAAAGAAATATATATATACTCGAAGAGCTTTTCTTCTAGCTCTATTATTTTCGAAACTGAGTTGACTTGCTACTTCTTTGTTGCTTAGAGGAGCAAACCTTATTTGCATAGGCCTTCTTTGTGCAGCTGAGGCTGATGAGCCTTTAGCTGCACTTTCCCATGGCCATTCGTCTTGACCCAAAGCCTGGTGGCTTAATATTTGTAAAGTCTCGATGTCCTCAACAAGGCCGGAATAGGAACTTCGAAGAAGTTGAACCATATCTTCTAGGTCCATAATTTTTCGGTCCTGGTTCTTCTGAATCCCACGTAGGTCATCGATCTCACTTCACAGTAGTCAATTTTCTAATATTAAAAAAATAATAATAATAGTAATAATAATAATAATAATAATAATAATAATAAAATATCAGTTATAAATCAGTATGAATTCGACCACCATTTAAGAAAATAGATATATATATATAATAAAAATAATAATAAAATAAATTAGTTACAAATCGGCATGAATTCAGCTATTATTTTTTTAAAAAAAAATAAATAAATCAGCATATTTTAGTTGTTATTCAAATAAGAAAGAAAAAAAAAATAATTATAATATTGGTATATATTCAGCCACTATTTAAGTAAAAAAGGAAAGAAAAAAATTAGTAAATAAAACAAAAAATCAGTTATAAATCAGCATATTTAAATACTTGAAAAAATTTACCATTCTCCAATCTTCGATTGTTTTCTGCTAAATTAAAATTAGCAAGAGTTTCTAATTGTTTACCGCTTCCACTTCAGCTTTTGCTTCTTATGGTTCTCAGTAATAAACGAGGCGAATGAGACAAATGAGGAGGCTGGATTAAAGTAGTGGATGGTTGGGTCAAAGGGGTTGTTGAAGTAATAGATGGTTGGGTCAAAGGGGTGATCAAAGTGCTTGATTGTCTAAGCGAAGTAGTGGTTTGTCTGGTCGAAGAGGTGGTCAAAGTAGTGAATTGTCTGGTCAAAATGATGAATTGTCTGGTCGAAGTGGTAGATTGTCTAGTTGAAGGAGTGGTCAAAGTGGTAGATTGTCTGGTCAAAGTAGTGGTTTGTCTAGTTGAAAGGGTGGTCAAAATGGTGGATTGTTGGGTCAAAGTAGTAGATAGTTGAGTCGAAGTGGTGGATGGTTGGGTTGAAGGAGTGATAGATGGTTGAGTCAAAAAAGTGATAGCTGGTAAAGTAATAGATGGTTAGGTCAAAGGTGTAGTAGATGGTTGGGTCAAAGAAGTTGTTGTGGATAGTTGAGTTGAAGAAGTTG